TAAATGAACCAGAGAATTAGAAAGAGGCAACCCATGTTGTAATCAAGTGTAGGACCTGCCCTAAGTCCATGTTAAGTGTAAAGCAAAATATTATAGCAAGTGGAGTACTCAACTGCCCATATGTTTCAAACAGGGATTACATTCACCCAATTCACCATCAAACCCCAAATTTTCACCACCAAGCCCCTCTCACAGAACAAACAATATGGTAGACCAGACCAATACAGTGTTGTAAGTCTCCAACCCATAGGGGGTGACATTACAATATAGCTAAACCCAAAAAAAGCTCACAAACTTCCAACCATTCACACAAAGTTTGTTTGCATCATAAGTTTGCCAATAAACATTATACAGAGTATATAATGGGACATGCAAGTACTAATCGAATGTGAATCTAAAGAGGAAGAACATAATACTCTGTCTGTAACGCAGTGCTTTAGCCTCATCCCCATAGGGCTCAGATAAAATTATTTCTGTATCAGACATCTCCAAGATCTGGGCAGAAGTTACTGATTCCCCATCTTCCCCATCAGATTCGACACTGCCTCTTTCATCCTCAGACGGAAAAAAGTCACCCCCCAAATATTTTTTCCGATACCACCACGTCGGATCTGTATTATCCGTGCCAGATGCGCTATCACCAAAGTCGTAAGGAGGTATCAGTGATTTTTTAGATTTAGGAGGTGGCTGGGGAGATGCCCTTTCATCTTCGCTATCGCTTAAATGCTTGAAGGAGGGCATGGTAGGATCGCGACCCACCATTTTTGGTGAATTCTTGAGGGTGCCGGCGGCGATGGGGAAGAGGAACATCAGCCACAGAGAGAGCTAGGGATAGAGGAGAGAAGATGAATGGATGAGGGGATGCGTAGGAGAGAGGATGAATGGATGGTGGGTGGGGTAAGAGGGTGGGGGGTAGAAATTAGGTTTAAGGGTAGGAATGTCATTTTTAGGCAAATGTGTAAATGTTTGTAGGACAAAAATTTTATGAAAGGGGTAAATCTTTATGGGACGGAGGGAGTATATAACAAACATAGTGTACATCCAAAAAAGAAAAGAAAAAAGAAGAGAGGGTAATCTACAACTTGATTTTGTTTGGGGGGGGGGGGGAAGGAACCAACATAGAAATATAATTTCATTTATGTGTAATGCAATATATGCATGATGGGCCTGGTGGGCTGCTGCATGCCATGGCCCATGGGCCCACTTGTGAATTGACTCGAAGTCTGACTAATTAAGGAAAGATACAAGAAACTAATTAATCAATCCAGCATTTTAGCAAAGCACATGCTAGCCATACATTCGGTCTCTTCATTGCTTTGAAAATAATAATTACATATGCACAAAACTAATTATTTAATTAAGCCTGTCAATCTACGAGCTTAATGATGTATTACCAGTTTACCACTGCACATACAGAGTATTTATTTAATTAGACATGATATATATTTTGAAGTGACCCAATGAATAAAAATGGTTATATATGGGGGTAATTAACGATACATGTTAATTGTTTAGCTCTTGTTATTATTATTAATTAATAATTAATTAGCTATGCTGTCTCTATTAATGATACATGTTAATTATTTTGATTAAATAATTAATGAAAATACATGTGATGTTTATCATAGGGGCAAAGGATTGTTAGTGTGACTATGTGACAAGCCTCTTGCTACTCCATCTGGTCCTAAATCTAAGGGCACATTGTTTCTCCCTCCATCCATTGGATTAATGAGAATTGATACATTTAATGGCAAATTATTCTCTTTTGAGAAATTAAGTTGATAAGATAAATATTTTTAATAGAAGCTTTTTAAAAAAATATTACGTAGTACAAGCTATTAGTTTCCACAGAATTAGGTTGCCATTACCGTATTTACTTTTTTATTTCGATTGTTACAATGACTCTTTATTCTACTTTGTTAGAATTCTTGATGCATTTTTAGAAGAAAATACATTAAATAAACCGATATTATGTTTTAGAAGCAATTACTTTAAATCCTTTATCTTTTATATATAAAAAGAAGACTTTAAACTCTAAGAACTTGACATCAACTGTTTTTTTTGGTGTTCAATATACTGTTGAAGCTTTGGAAAGAAAAATACATTGAATTGGATTGCTCCTTAATTAAGATCACCTTATTGTGCACCGCCGCCAAAAAAAGAGAGTGGTTGAAGCAAATTGCAAATCAACACTCCAGGGAGAAAATAGTGGATCGCCGCCACCAATTCATCAACAACAAAAAAATTGAAAGGTTTAGCCGCCGCTGCCAAATTATTTTTGACGCCGACCAGATTCATATTTTTTCAAATGGAGCAGGGTTTTTCCTTCCGAATGGAGGCACAATTCAAGCGGATAGAGGCTTTGATTATTTGTATCGAAGCATTGGACAAACTTATTTATTTGTTGGAGAATGTTCTTTATGGCGAAATTGAGCACGGTGAAGGAGTCTGCATACTTTACAATCACATTGATGAAATTATCAAGAATCTTCAATCATTTCGTCCCATTGAAGGTCAGTCAAATTATGACTCTGACTTACATACATTTGACATTGAAATATCTTGCGCGATGCAAGATTTGGTTTGTGGTCCTCCAATTTTGTCAAGTTTGATTCCTTGGGAGTTACAAAACTTTAAAACAAACATGTTAGGCGCTATTAAAATGCTCATCGATACTTCCCCTTCCCCACCAAATTTGGTCTCTACAGTAATTGAGAAAAATGTTGAATCTCTTGATCAAGAATCCAAGGTGGACTCAAGCGTAGATTCACAGGTAGGAGATGACGAGGACAGTGCACTCGGAGCTATGAAGGAAGATGAGGAGTCTAAAGTCATGGAAAAAGATGATAGTGCTAGTGTTGCAGATGTTGTTAATGTCTACGCACTTAATCCCACATCAAATGAATTTTTTGTGCCAATAAAAGTCTCGGCGGGTGTGGTCATTGCAAAATTTGATGTTCCCGATATTATTGACAATGTGGTAGATGCAGATAATAAGCAAGCGGAAAACCCCATTTCATTTGACATCATTAAGTTGTGTGACATTGCCGATGTGGTCAAGATGCTGCACCTAGTTTCATTGAGCGAACCTACATGTGGCATTGACTCTATCTCACAGGCCCCTCAGTTTACTCCAAGTTCGAACATGGTTGAAAATTCAAGGAATGGGCCGCTCCTTTGGTTTAGCATTATCTCTCCCGTGCAGAAACACGAGTGGGAGCCTCCACCTTGAGGACAAGGTGATTTTTAAGGGGGTGGGAATGATATAAAAATAGATTAGTTATATTATTTATTAATTAGTATTCTTTATTATTATATTGTTAATCATGTTTAGGGTTTAGTACGGGCCTGAGCCCATTAGGTCAACTAGCGTAGCTTTACTATCTACTCCCTCCGTCCCCCTAAGATGTTCTCATTTTGACTTTTGGTAGTTTTTAAGGAGAGTTGAAAAAAGGTGAAAGTTTACCATAATACCCTTAATGAAAAATGGGTGGAGTGTATTAAATGAGGTGGGTGAGGTGTAATAAATAAAGTAAGTGGAGGTAGTTGTGGTATTTTAATTGTTAAAAAATGAAATGAGAAGATCTATTATGGACAAAGAAAAAGGGCTATTGAGAAGATCTATGGGGGACGGAGGGAGTATATATTGTAATCCTTCCCCGATTTTAAATCAAGCAATAAAGAAATATCAAAACCCTAATCCTTTCTCTATTTTCTTGGAGCTCGGAAACGCTCGAAGTTTTCATTCTCTCTTTGCCTCCCCTTTCTTGGAGCCTGAAGACGCTCGAAGTTCTTCCCTATCCGATACGATATTCGTATCAATGTGACAACTCCAACAACTTGACACATGACATTGCTTACATGGCACTAATGTAAAACTTGAAAACAATTGGTATATTTTAGACATTTTAGATGATTGTAGAATTGTTTAATGAGATGCGCAAAAAAGTTCATATTTATTTCATCAATTGGAAATAATTTTTAACACAATTCCAATTCTATCTCTTAATTTATACGTCACTAACGTAATCCATGTCCCAAAATTATGGGAAAAAGCGAACAATATTTTTTGTAATATTACTTGAAAGCAAAAATAAGTAAATAACAAGATTTTTTAATTGAAATGAAAAATAACATACTCCATTTTATTAAAATTTCAAGGAAAAAATAACATATACTCTGTAAAATCAAACAATTAATCGATCAAAATAAATTTATACCGCACTCTGTATCGTAAAATAATAATCACTAGTTATGATGTGTTTCATAAAAAATTGCCCATGGACCTAGGATGGATACGATTTAAGTTTTTCTTAGTCACACAAGAATTATTTAAATAAGGCAATGCATAAATACTCCGTATAATATAACTACTCGTTATATAATTTAATTAACTATAGTATAATTTAATTTCAGAGTCCTAGACTATATTACAAACCTAAATACACGTATGGACTATGGAGTTATTGTACATTCTTTGTAAAATACATACGTTTACAAATTAAATAATCTCATTTTGTGCTTTTATTTTAGTAATAATAATAGTTTTTATAATAATAAAAATAGTATTATTATTATTAACATTAATGATATTTGGAATAAGAAAAATATAAAAACTGAACGTAAATAATTATTATGTCACTATTGAAGGAAATTTAAAGACACTAAAAGAACAAGGAGAAAGACCAAACTAGGGCTAAAACATTGAAAATATACCAAAATAAGACTTTTGTGTTTTTATTCTCGAAATAGGACTTATATTACCAAATATGGTCATGTACATTACCAAAAATTATAGTAATGTGCACATGTACAGTGCCACATTACAACCACATTATCATAGTGTGAAGTCCTATTTTGAGAAAAAAACATGAAAGTCCTATTTGGTACTTTCTCTATGTTTTAGTCCTATTTAAGATGATTTCTATTATGAAAAAGTAAACCAAATTAAAAAGTACTTCTTCCATCCCAAAAACATTTTTCACTATCATATTCTTGTTCATCTCAAAAAATACTTTTACTTTGAATTGAATTCTTCTGTTAACCCCTGTAAAATATTAACAATCTATCACATCGTATCTTGTTATTCACGACTCTCTCCGTCCCTGAGAACCTTTCTTCTTTTTTCTTTCATCCATCTGAATTTTTTTATCATTTCTATTAAAAAGTTACTTTTACCCATCCGTTACTAATTATTAACCTACCTATCACGCACATCACATCTATTCAGTATTAATCTACCCATCAAATCATACTTTTACACATTACATCCAAAGACATATTTGAAAATTCAATACCAAAATGCACTCCTTTTAAAACCCTTAAAAACAAATCCTCCCATATTTTTAGGGACAGATGAAGTAGTAATTTACGCATCACATTCTATCCGACCCTGGTAGGAGTATAAGATAATAAGAGCGAAATTGAAAAATAACACCAAAATAACACATCTTAAATTTCGTCTATTTTTTCAAAATGAATAAATTTATGGATGGGAAGAGATGTAGGATAACGATAAAGAGTAGTTAGAATTGAAAAGATCAGAACAAGTCTTTTTTGTGTTCACTAAATTGTGGAGTACCTTAGCATTTATGCGATCCACAAATTAATTAACAATAAAACATTATTCTTATATATCCTTTCACAATAATCTTATTTAATTAATTCCCAACTTAACATAATATTCGACCAATTCCTTATTGTTGTATGAAAAAGATTCTTATCGGGTGCGTGGATGACAAATATGCATGCTTATCAATACATCATGATCGTAGCGATAAGTAATGTACTGCCTCTGTTCTATAAAAAAAAAGAGTTTTTAGTTTGATAACGTGTAAAAATAAAGAAGTACCCCGTATTAAATTGTAATTGATTTCCAATTTTGTCCTTAATGTGATGGGTAAAAGTAAAATGTGATGCATATATTATTAGAGAAAAAGTATGATATAATAGATAGTGTATGAAAAAGTAAGAGTAAAAGTAATTTTTTAATAGAAGGTGGAAATATTTTATTGAAAATGAAAAAAATGAAAGAAAATAATTTTTGAAAACCACACTTATTTCGAAAGATTAGGGCGACCGTGGCAAGTTGAGAATGAGTGGATTATGGATTTTGAGGTCCAAAAAAAAGTCAGCTTAATTAGTGGGTTAATGCATGGATGTGCGGGAATAATTATACTTAATTAAGAGGAGGGACGAAGATACGCCAGGCTGGCTTTGCATGCACGTGGAGCCGCCCCGGATTCTCCTCGTTCATTTTCGTAACAGGATTCGGTCGTTGCCGGCCGGCCGGCCGGCGTCAATGAAATCAAACATATATCCTCATCCACTCTCTTCGGTTCCCTTCCCGCGTTTTCCTCTCTAATACGAAATGATACAATTTACAATCCAATGGAACTTGATTTCAATCGAGTCGACCGACCTGCAGTTTCGATCAGTTGAATCGGGGTTGGATATTTCTCATAGTCGTGGTAGATAACAATCCATCTTATTGAATAATGAAGATTACATGATTTACATCAATATTTATATGGAACAAATGAAGAATTTTAGCCAAAGCATAATAAGAAAATATGATACTCCGTAACAATATACGGAGTATAGAGAAAGTAATGGACAAATTAGGCACCGTGGGAGTGAAATGGTAAATAAAAAAGTATTTAGGAGCATAGCAGTAATTAGTTGCATTTGCGAGTAATATCATCAAATTGTGAATTTCTTGAAGAACTTACGTAATTTTTTGGCTAAAATCCACCATTGGTCCTTCAACTTTATTAGTTGTGCACGATTGGTCCTTCAAGTTTTAAAAGTCCATAAATAGTCCTTCAACTTTTTGAGTTATGCACGATTGGTCCTTCAAGTTTTAAAACAGCATAAATAGTCCTTCAAGTACACGTGAGCCCTCCAGATGAAGTACTTTTGACAGCAAATATTAAAAGTTAAACGAAATAATAATTTCATATAATACGAGTAAATTCTACTAGGTACGACTACTCCGTATTATATTGAGCTAGTATTCCATTTAGCTTTTAACATTTACTGTCAAAAGGACCTCATCTGGAGGGCTGACGTGTACTTGAAGGACTATTTATGCACTTTTAAAACTTGAAAGACCAATCGTGCATTACTCAAAAAGTTGAAGGACTATTTATGGACTTTTAAAACTTGAAGAACCAATCATGAACAGTTAATAAAGTTGAAGGACCAATGGTGGAGTTTAGCCTAATTTTTTTCAAAGGAAAGTGAATAAATAAGACCATATATATGACGATCTAGCTAGAAAGAAAGATTAGACAAATAATTAAGGATAGAAGTATTGGACTATATTTGGGAAATGTGAAACTTGCACTGAATAGGACTAAAACATAAGTTATTTTCCAATGTAGGACTTAAACTTTTCTATTCCCTAAATAGGACTTAATAATGACTAGTGAGAAGAATAATGTCCAAGTGATGCTGGACATTTAGTTGAATAATGACTAATAGATAATGACCAATGGTCCTACATTGAGAATTGAAAACATATGGTTCTATATTGTGAAAGTCATTATGTTTTAATCTTATGTAGGTAAATTACCCTTGAGAAATCCTTTTGTGGTTCACAATTATTTTATGAACCTGAGTGCATGAAATAATTATATTTAGAGCAATGCTAGGGGCACACCAAAAGGTGTACCCCAAATGTACACCACCCTCTTTTCCACCACACATTTTTATTTGATTTTTATTTACTTATTTTTTTTTTAAATTTTTTTGCCTTTTTTTGCCTTTTTTTTCCTTGGAATTTATAAAAAGAAAGACAACTAACTGTGAGTCTATGAAACACTAAGTACGCAGTATATGTGAGAAATTAAAGTCTATATACTCCGTATTTATTTTAGATGTGGACCTTAAGACAATAATAACATAACTCTCTATTATTAGATCTCCCCTCAATAATAATTTTAAGATATTTCGATGATTAAAGGTATATATATTCATGTTGTTACCTACTCCCTCTGTCCAAAAACGCTTTTCTTGTTTCTGTTTACGAGTCTTAACTTATTTTATTTTCAGTTCAATTAAGTGTAAAATTTAAAATAAAATTTATATATTTAAAAAACAACATTAAAAGTTATACAAAATAGGAGGTGATAAGACTATTATTTTATCAAATAATTAACGAAAACAAGTAAAAAAAATTATAAATTTGACCGTGTAAAGAGTAACTGGAAAGAACATTTTAGGATAGAGTGATCGGTACATACTCAAAATACTTCATCCGTTTATAAATAAATTTCAGACTTTGATTTTTTTTTCCAACATAAAGCAGGACTACTTCATTAGTTTTGACTTGATATGATTTTCTTTTCGTTTATAAACCACCCGGCCGTGGAGTATTTTATTTTTGAAATATCAGTTATATCACTCCGTACTTCGTTCTAAGCTAGCTAGTATCCGTAGTATGGTAGTAGTATTATACGTACGGAGTATCCAAATTCCAAAACAAATTAATTATGTACAAATGGATGAGGTGAAATTAAAGTTGTCTTAACAAAAAACAAACGAATATAATTTCCTTGACTCCATTTTCAATATATATTGATTTGCTATTGAGTGATAGCTTATTTTTTCCATGCTTCCCTTTTTCATCCAAAACAACGTGCAGTGGTAGCTATATACTATATAGCTAGCTAGCTAGGAAAGTAGCTAGGAAGGGACTGGGCAACAACTTCTCCATTCGTCATGCACAAATTATTTATGTTTGCCACTATGTTTTTTTCCCCTTTCTGCATTGCCACTACCTTGCTGCACGTAAAGTTGTACCACTTGTACCTCTTTCCGCATATACTCCCTCCGTTTCTCACAACGGTTCTTCTTTTGACTTTGGGAAAAAATAAGGAAAGTGTAATTTTAGTTGACTTTACAATTTTTCCCCTGATGTGATGGGTAAAAATAAGATGTGATAGTTTAGTTATTAGTGAAAAAAGTATGATGTGATAGGTAGAGTATGAAAAAGTAGGGGTAAAAGTGGTTTTTTAATAGAAAAGGGAAGTGTTTTAAGAAAAACAAAAAAATGAAAGAGGAAGGGTTTTAAGAAACGGAGGGAGTACATACTTAGTGGGTGGTCAATAGAAAGTGTGAAAGAATAAAATGGTAGTATTACTCTAGTGTGATTTTTTTGAGTCTAACTGAATGAATTTTAAGACTCAATTAAATAAAGATCCTAATGTATATTTGTATAAATTAAAATTGACTTTATTAGATTTTTCTTGTTGAATTATACGCATTACAAATTGAGAGTGATCGAATGAAATATTAGCACTAAATAGTACTAAAACTTAAGTCATTTCTCTAAATAGCACTTAAAGTGTTTTATTCCCTAATAAATAGCACTTAATAATGTCTATAATGTCCTGTGATGACAAATATTTACTTGAATAATGACTAATGCATAATGACTAAAAGTGCTACATTGTGAAGAAAAACATATGTGGTACTATTTAAGTAAATTTCTCTAATTGAATATCAAAGTTTGACATGTTTAACTCAAAAAACTTAGTTATTCCACTAAAATTCTAAGTGAAATTTGCACTAAATAGGACTAAAACATAATGACTTTCCTAATGTAGGACTTAAACTTTTTTATTCCCTAAATAGGACTTAATAATGACCTTGTGGAAGGAATAATGTCGAGTAATGATAGATATTTTGTTGAATAATGACTACTTTATAATGACCAAAGGTCCTACATTGGGAAATAAAAACATATGGTCCTATATTGGGAAAGTCATTATGCTTTAGTCCTATTTAGGTAAATTTCTCAAATTCTAATGGTACGATATTTACAAATTAAAATTCAAATGAAGTGAAGATAAATTTGGTGGGATAAGATGGGACGTGGAGANGAAGTACTACGGAAGGGGAGTACGTTCGTTACGATCATCTTCACGTTAATATATAAACGATTGAAATTAGAGGGAGGTGATTCATATAGCACTATGAATGTGCTTAATCATTCCCCGCCCATTATAATATTTTCGTTCACATCATAAACCCGTATACTTAATTCACTTTGAGTCATCTCTATACTTCACGCTTTTCAATATTCTCCCAATACGGATCTTACGGAATAGTATATGCATGCATGCATGCATATAATCAAATCCCTGCATCCAATGTTACTTTTTTGAGTTATTATTCAGGTGGTTAAATTACGTACGGAGTAATTTCTGCAGCTTAGAATTTTTTTAATATATTCACTGTGTAATATATTAAATGATTAATATATAAAAATGAGCTGAGTTGCATTTAAATATTTTCTTTATTTATTTTCGTTTATTGAGAAAGTTCTACACCAAAAAGACAAGAGAGTGTGTGTGTGTATACACACACACACATATATATATATATACACATACACATACACACATATATATATGTATATATGTGTGTGTGTGTGTGTGGTAGACACACAAAATAACAACCAAGAAATAATAACTTTCTAGTTGAATTCCACAAAAATAAAGTCGGGGAAGTTTGTATGTAGACCTTAATTATTTTAATATAAAGATCGGGCTCTAAACAAAAAGATAAGTATCCACCATATTTAATTTAAATTTGATGAATAATTAAAAGTTCTTGAGATTTGCCAATTCAATTCAAGCTGATGTATGTGAACTGATCGATGGCCATGATTTTGTTAGTGGTGATCATGGTCTTCTAACAATATAGTGTTTCAATTCGAATAATGTGACATTACTTATCGAGTACTCCGTATAATATACGCCCTAGCTAGCAAGCTCTACCCAAATTGTCGTTTTCACAATAACAATTGGCAATTAATTCTTTTTTTCCCTATAGGGTACATATATATATATATATATATATATATATATATATATATATATATATATATATATATATATATACACGGAGTATATAATACTACTGTTAAAGGAAACAATATAGAAATATTTATGTATATTTCCATATATATTGTTATGATAGTTTTCTGATATATGTTGATTCCTTTGCTTTATATTTAGTTTTCATATCGAGTTTCTTGCCTGTGTAATCCTATATATTCAGCTTTTGTTTATATTGTAAATATGAAAAATACGCGAGAAATTCTCCTAAATATTCTTCTTTCAATTAAATAACCATATTATTATTATTTATTAAAATAATATTCAGAGTATATAGCTAAATCAACTATTGTTGGTACTAAAAAAACTCAAATTTTATAGTCAAGCAAAATCTCTAATTTTAATAGGTCGTCTATAAACTATTATCCAACGAAGGAGAGGGATGAGTAATACGATAATAACATTTTTTTGGACTTATTTAATACGAAGTTGTTGACTTGTTCATCCCACATCGGCTATGCAACCTTATATTGTGCTGCTATTTAATAGCTTGGGTGCCTCAACCTCTTGAGTTAACTTTTGGGGTTGAATTGGGCCCAAGTCTATTGTTTCAACATGGTATCAGAGCTAGGCCATTGATGTTGGGACCGCGCCCGCAGTAATCTGCGCCTCGTGTGAGGGGGGCGTGTTGACTTGTTCATCCCACATCGGCTATGCAACCTTATATTGTGCTGCTATTTAATAGCTTGGGTGCTTCAACCTCTTGAGTTAACTTTTGGGGTTGAATTGAGCCCAAGTCTATTGTTTCAACTGAAGTACAACAAAAATAAGTAATGATTAAATCGTGTCATTTGAAGGGTACAAGTACTCGGTCAAAAAATACGAGTACTAATTTTGCATATTTTTATTTAAGTTATACATTCATCGAGTAGTCATTTCACATGTTTTTTTTTATTATCAAAACGAGCACTGTTGAATATATGTATATGTATGCACGTACATTTGAGAATTGTGGACTGTGGAGTATATAGTGATAATTGCTTTTATAAAACATGTACTCCACAGTTTGATTTTTTTGTCAAATTATGATACTATTTAACTAGAAATTATAGAAAAAATATATTTATTAGTTTTAAGGTAAATTTAGTGGTGTGTGGGAAGTATAGTGAATACTTCCTCCGTCCCACTATATTTGTCCACTTTCATTTTTGCACACCATCCAGTACACTTCTTTAATCCATTTTATCTTGTAATTTGTATATTAAAAAATTATAGAAATTATATATTAATAATCTATATGTTAAGACAAATCAAACAAGATCACGCATGACTATATTTAGACTTACACATTGAGAGAATTTGATGAGTCAAAGTGCTTAAATGAACAGTTTCAAAAGTCAAAAGTGGACGAATATAGCGGGACGGAGTGAGTATATCATATCATAGGATGTGAATGGTTAGTGCTAAATACTCATGGCTCACAAACTTTGAACTTGCAATTTGGTCGGTAACTACTTACCACAAAATGTGCGCCGTCATGATGAGCCAAAATCCATAAAACATTGAATGGATCTTCAAATTTTGGAACATACCCACTCTGTTCCATAAAACATTTCCTGTTTCAAAAATGGCACGTCTTTAAAATGAGTAATTTTTGTGTTATTTTTTAATTAGGACTAATCTATTCTACACATCTCATTCTACTCTTTTAAGAAGTAAGGGCAAGATTAGAAAATAACACCAAAATTACTCATTTTAAGAGTGCGCCTTTTTTGAAACAGAAAATGTTTTATAAGACGGAGGGAGTATGAGATATTGTACATTTGTACCCTAACTCTTGGGTCAATAATCAAGCACTACATACACCCATTATTTTTAAAGAAAAAATCTTGACGAACTCTAAGTTACTCCGTATTTTAGATTTGATCCCAGTGCCTTCACAAATATTACAAACACAATATAAAAGCATGGTGGTTGGTGGAACTTAATTGAATCCCTCAAACATGATTCATTTTTAAATTTTAATTGCTCTAACTATATTACGTATGCTATATAGCCCACCCAATACAAACAACTATACCTAGATAAAACTAAAATAGAGAATTTATATCAAAATCGCTTTTTATATTTTATCTGGCTCTAATAAATAGCGAATGCTAAGAGTATGGAAGGAATATTAATTATGCAATTTTAGTACGTAATTGAGATCAATATACAAGTGTTGCTGGGTGGGTGGTGGGGGCTGGGGTGGCTAGAGTGAGGTGTAGGGGCAGGAGGTGGGTGTTTGAGGGAAGTTTTGGACAATTAAATTACTTCTATTCTTGTTATCTCCACAATTGCACCCTATCTACTCGGCCTATGTTTGGTTTAAGGAAATTAGAAGGAAAAGAAAAAAAAATAGATCTTTCTCACTAAAATGAAAGAAGTTTAGTTTTTCCTCATCTTAGTACATTTTGCCTTCTAATTTTCCTTTTCTTTCATTTTTCTTTTCTTTTCCTCTCTAACCAAACAAGAAAAATATTTTTCTTCTCATTTTTTTCTTTTCCTTCTCAAATTCCTTGAACTAAACATAGTGTCAATGTACTCTTTTTTTGGGAGAAGAACTCAAATAGGATAAAATAACCCTTTAAAAAAAGATTTTAGTAGAACTAAATTCATAACATATCCCCCAATAATTTGTCCCGGGAGATAATAATTACTCCTTCACCATTATCACACTATAACTCCGTCACCACACTGCCAACACCATTACTGTCATATTGAAACCACCGTCGCCACACTGCCAACTACGTCGTCACATTGCCAACTCCGCTGTCACACTACATGCCAATTCCACTGTTACACTTTCAAACTCCGCCGCCAAACTATCACCACCATTGCCTCTACACTTCCAAACCTCTCCACCACACTGCTAAGTTCACTGCCACACTCCGCCACCACACTGCCACCACCATCGCCACCGGCCACCGCACTTCCACCACCACCGCCACCGCCTTGCAACTACACTGTAAATTTAATTTTGCCGCCACATTGCCAAACTCCACATCACACTGTCATTATTATCGCTCGTCCCACCGCCACACTTCCTCCACCACCACCGCCTCACCACCACATTATCAACTTCGGTGCCGCATTACCAAACTCCGCCAGCACACTGCCATTGTCGCCACCACCTTTTGCCGCCACACTACCAGTTTTGCTGCTACACTGCCACCCTCCTCTACTACATTGCCACCATCACGGCTCCTACACTGCTACTCTTTGTGACCACATTGCCACCATCTTCGTTGCCACACTGCGCAAGAAGAACGGATCACGAGGGGGGAATTAGGAAGAAAAGTTAAGGCCAACTCCTACAAAAATAAATACTTAGACATACTTTTATGAGGAATTTACTTAAATAGTACTAAAACATACTCCGTAATGACTTTTCCTAAATAACACCACATGTGTTTTTCTTCCCAATGTAGCACTTTTAGTCCTTATGCATTAGTCACTATTCAAGTAAATATTTGCCATCACTGGACATTACGGACATTATTAACTGCTATTTAGAGAATAAAATATTTTAAGTGTTATTTAGGAAAATGACTTAAGTTTTGGTGCTATTTAGTGTAAATATTTCTACTCTTATTTATGTCTTTCATAAAATTTGTACTCCTATCTACGAGGATTTCCCTTTTTTTTAAAGTAGTTTGGGCCGCCACTTCCAGGTGATAGGCCCAACGAGTTGGTCCCTCGCCCACAATATCAGTGGTGTTTGTGGCCTTTGAACAATGGGCTTAAGAGAACGCGGTTTCTTTTAGCCCGGTAGAGA